CTTTCGGGGATAGTTTTCAGTGAGCAATGAACTAGCGTCCTTGTCCAATTTGGCGGCTTTGGATATTGTTCTATTAAATATGGACTTCTGGCCGAGAGGTATTGAGAAGGTGAAAAAGTTCAATATAGTTGTTGGCGATTACTTTGGTGGCATCCCTGACCCTCGTTATTCGTTATCAAATAAGTTGGATCTCCAAGGTCAAAACTTGAGTGACATTGAAACGAGGTTTGATTTGCTGTTGAAGAGAACTGAAATTCTTATTTTAACCGCAACTGCAGTAAGTTTGAAAATTCTCTGTGATTTGGTCGACGAAGATGGTTTTGAATGCTTAATGAAATTGACACTAGACTACTTGACTGAATTGGAATACCTCATCAATACAACAGATGGGGTTCCCCAGAGTGCTTTTCCTGTGAGTGTCTGTATCTTCGTAATCTATATAATTTCAAAGGGATTACTAGCCATGAATGTCATGAATACCGACTACCGAACACGGCTTTCCGTGCATTGAAAGAGTTGGTACTATATTTCTTGCCTGAATTGACAAATATGTGGAAGGGTCCCACCCAACTTGTATGGCTCGGCAACCTGACGTCTGTAGATGTGTTCTGGTGTCATAAACTACAAACTACGTTCTCACTTTCCATAGCTAGAGATCTAAGGAAACTGCAGGACGTTCGGATAACTCACTGTGGCATGATGAAAGCAATTGTTTCAAGTGAAAAATGATTTATATTTACGAAAATTATAAAAATTATATAATTAATTATTATAAATTATTATTATATATAAAAATTATATTATTTCAATGCTTGAGTGTTGTGGGTGTGGCCATTGGTGTGTGTGTCATTGTGTGGGTTGGCTTTGGTTGGTAGTAGAAACGCCATTTCAAATGGCGTTTTATTTCATTTAAAAAAAAAATTTTTTTTTTTTTTTTTTTTTCATTTTTCTAAATGATATCTTACAATTGACCCTAAAAAATAAATAAGATTATAATTGCCACTGGGAAGAGTATTCTATCATGACTACCCCTTGACGTAAGATCGAACTAAATGAGATTAAAGCTACATCATTTGATGCACATAATGACATATTAGCTTTAAATAAGGGGAAAAAAATTAAAATCATACTTACATTACAACAAAGAAAAAGACGCATCAGCGGGATGATGAAGGCAACTGCCAAAAACTTTTCGTTGCTACGAGTATTTTCTCCCTCCCATGCGATTCGGGTTCCTTCTCATGTATGGTGGCAGTCCATCTGACAGCGTGAGCAATATGTTCTACTTTGTCGATCACTTCAGGGGAATCTCGAATCACAACCATCCCTTCTGGATGTAGCATTCGATCAATCTCCACCATCAAATCCACAAGGTTACACCTGTTATAGTAGTCACAAAGAGATAATCCTAATCACATCTTGCACTATTAGTTTGTATAAGCAGTAAAGAGACAGCAACTACCCATGACATCAAACTGGTTATAATAGCAGCCAAACTTCTCCAAATAATAGAATTAATAGGAGCAAAAAATAATTCCACAACTCAAATTTTTTAAAAAATAAATAAATAAGAGAAGGCTGAAGAATTAATACTCAAAGATCGTGAATGAAAATAAATCTACCTGCTCTTTCCAGAGCCGGGATCTCTTGTAAGCGACTCAATGGAAGCTACATGGATGAGATCATAACTCCTAGGATATGTTGAGAAAGGCTCGCACCTGTCATCATCAATCATAAACATCATCTCATCAGTAAAAGCCTCTTTAGAGATCAGGTACATTTTGTACACGGTGTGAGTTGCTATTATTAAATCTATCACAACCACAAGGAAAAGTCCACCATGCAGAAAACATAAACATAATAAAGGAACAAATTAGTGGTGGTGGTGGTATGGCAACGGTGGTGATAATGGGGTAGTGGTTGTGGTAGTGTATTGTATTCATCAGACTTTGGTCTAGAAAAATATTTTCTACCTTTTAAAAGTGAAAAATATTTTCTGTCTAAATAAACTTGCTTTCCGTTGACCACATAAAAGGTTTTCGATTGACTTCCGTTTTCAATAGTAACAAACAAAAAAAAAAAAAAAAATTCCATAAAATATTTGTCGCCCAAATAAACAGAGCACAATTTTTACATGTGCATTTTATGATATCAAATTTTCAATTTGCACATAATTAAATTGCAGAAATCGAACACAATGTTTTATTTATTATGGAAACATATAAACATCTAGCATTAATTTTAAAATAAGCAGACACCCTCAAACTATACTATATTCAAAATTACTCAATAATTACTTTAAAATGCTCAAATTATTAGGTGGGACCTGTGGAGGGTCCGATTGGCTGAACTGAACTTCTATAGTCCATACCCAAACCGAAAAGAAGTTGATATTGCTAACTAAACAAGCACTGTTAAACTTCTTCGAATGTTGAGTTGGTACTCTAAAACTACTGAGCAATTACTTTGAAATTCACCGTTTCAATTGAGCTTGAGAGGTTCGATAAGCTTAGAGAGGACTTGGGCTCGTGTCTCACGGTCTTGATTGCCAAAACCATCTCCATGTTGGTAAATAAAATGAGCCACTCTAGCTGTGTTGATAGTGTATTTGACAAAAGGTTGCAAAGAAGGAGATTGGGTGATGAATTCATGGTTAATTTTGTCCCATGTATCCTTTATTGTGGTTCTAATGTGCTCCCTTGCTATCTCCTCTGAGACATTGGCTTCTCTCATGAAACAAAGGATTGACGATGGAGCATCTCCTCTCTCTAGTTCTGCCTGCAGTTAAAATTGATGATGTTCAAAATCATGACACTAATATTCAAAATGTGGGACAAGTTTTGTGTGTGTGTGTGCGCGCGCGCGCGCGCGCTTGTTTAGTGTGAGAATATTGAGAAGTGCAAAATTTGTATGTTTTGGCAAGAAATTGAAAGTTAATTTGCCATGTTGATATATGGGCAGTACCTATTGAATTGTGTGTGTGTTTTTTTCTTCTTCATAATTTCGGAAACAAAACAATTAAAAGTTTAAAACACTACGCCAAAATTGGGCTTTAGCGGCGATTTTTTACCGCCGTTAAAGCCTTTAACGTTAACGGCGATATTAACGGCGGTTTTGTTACCGTCGTTTATGCGCGTGTCGGAAAAAGTACAACCGTCGTAAAAAGGTAAATTACCGTCGTTAAAAGTCGACCAAAAACGGCGGTAACATAGGACCAAAAACGGCGGTTTTTTACCGCCGTAAATAGGTTCAAATTTTTCAAAAAAATAATTCTATCTTCTTGCACTCCCCAAGTCTTGAACCTTCAACCTCTCATCCACCCACACTAACCACTCTACCATAGCCACTCTTCATTAAATATATTCCCTAAATAAATATTTAAACATTACTTTTACTTTATTGTAGATGGTTTCACCGGAGCACGCCAGAGTTTCGCCGGAGCACGCCGGAGTTTCGCCAGCAAAGACCGCCGTCATTAACGGCGGTAATGATTGGGCATTAGCGGCGGTTTTGTTACCGCCGTTAAAAGTGGGCATGCCGTTAATGATACCTTTAACGACCGTTTTCGTTACTGCCGTTAATAGTACCTTCAACGACGGTTTTCGTTACCGCCGTTAATAGTACCTTTAACGACGGTTTTCGTTACCGCCGTTAAAAAAATCGTCGTTAATGCTCTGTTTTGGCGTAGTGAAAGTACCCACCAATTTCATGTGTTTTTTGGGTGCAAAAACAAATTTTTTTTTGTGTTTCCTAAAAACAATTTTTTAAATTTGAAAACAAATTTTCAAATCACACACCATTTCGTATCATTCTCATTTTTAAGTTAAAAAGGCTTTCGAAAACAACTTTTTAGCATTTACTGACAATGTATTGTGTTGACAAAAAATTCATAAAACATTTTCAAATGGCAAAAATATTTTGTTTTCTGATGAAAGTTGCTCGCTTGCCAATTTTATTACAATTTTTTCACAAAAATTTCATCTCAACCAAATGCATAGAAGACATTTTCACTTTCGATATTGCTTTTCAGTCTACTACAATATATAAGAGTTTGAGGGACCAATTTCTTAGTTTTAAAAGTGAAATTTTATTGCAGAAAATATTAAGAGACAAATTTCAGTTGGTGTATGAATCGTGACGAAAAGATCGTTCCAAAAATTTTAAAAATAAATAAATAAATAACAGACCTTTAACAACAAAATTTAGACAAAATTTTGGTTCCAAAAATATAGTAATTCATTGCTAATACTTACCCAAAAAAATAATTCATTACTAATTTCCCAATTTTGACCATAAAAATACAACAACTATACTTTTGACAATTAAGATATATTTTGTCCTTAAAAAAGTGATTTTGTCTCTAGAATTTTTTTTTTTTTGGGTGAATAAAAATAATCCCCTTCCACACAAGGGATTTGAACTCCTGACCATTTGCCACTGTTGTTGTGAAGTAATCTTGATTGTTTGTAAAAAATGGAGGCTGAAATTCAATGCGTTGATTGCTAGCTGTATACGTATTAAATGTTTTCATACTGATAGCTGTATTTGTAATGAATATGTTCACACTGCTAGTTTATCCATATATATAGCTATGTGTGTTGAATAATTTAGAGTGTGAGAGAAAGAAAGGAAGAGTGCTCTGTTTGTATACTTTTTTTCCTCAGAATTATTTTGAGTGAATTTAAATTTCAGATTGGTTGAGTTTTAAACCTCTCATTGTGAATCACCAACAGTGGTTTGCACCCCACTCCCACCAACAGTGGTATCAGAGCCGAAGGTAGCTTGAATTTGCAAACATTTTGCAAAATTTTTAAATAACAGAGTGTGTTTTCAAAAATTGCCCAGAAATCAAAGTGGTCGAAATTCATTTTTGATCACATCAGCTTGAAGCTCCCGACGAGACGAGAATAACCGTGAAAACCGCGTCAAAAACGGATCTCGGACGACTTCACATGCGTCACACGCGCCACTGACGCTGTTCTCACGCGCTTCTACCCGCCGCACGCGCTGCCAAAGGAAGAAGACGCGTGATCCCACGTGCAAGCACGTGCCATACACGCGCGCACCAGAGACCTGACGTCATCCCCTGACATCATCTGAGTCACTGTTGACCAGAGCCGCTGACTAAGCCAAGTCGCTGACCAAGCCGTCATTGATCAGAGCCGTTGACCGAGCTGAGCCTGAGTCGCGCTGCTACCCAAGCCGCATTGATTGCGCCGTTGACCGAGCCGCTGACATCAGCACACTGAGGATTAATCTAGTGTGACGCGGCTAAGGTGCAGTCGTAGATCTGAACCGTTCAACTTGTTTTGGCTTGATCTGAGCCATTTGGAGTCTGTTTTTGGTGATCCAATAGTGCTTTTCAACTATTTGGAGTATTCTAGACACATCTGTATGGTAAGAATTTGCAAATTCCATCCTGAAAATTTGCAGCTTTTTAAAGACAACCAATGGCCAACACCAATAACTTCTTTTTGCCCTAGTTTCCAAAACTCAACAAGGAGAACTATGAAAATTGGAGTATTCAAATGCAAGTCCTACTAGCCTCACAAGATTTGTGGGAGTTAGTGGATGTGACGACCGGTTCCTTTCCTCATTTTCTTTTTCTTTTTCCGTTTCGTTTCCTTTTATCCTCGTCGGATTTGAAATGTCCGGGAATGATTTTCTAGTTCGTGTTTCGTTTGTTGTTAAGTTTTGGTTGCTCCAGAAGGTGTGCGGGTGAACCCAGGGTGCCTGGGAGCGAAGTGGGAGTTGTGAGCTGTTGGGCCAGGGCCGCACGTGCGGGGCCCTAGGCCTCACGTGTGGAAGTGGGCCGCTTGAGCGGTGGGAGGGGCCGCTCGAGCGGAAAGGCTTGGCACCCAGAAATTTGGCTATTGCCTAGAGTGCACGAGCGGAGAAAATGGGCCGCACGAGCGGTCAAGGTGGGCTGCTCGAGAGGTGGGGAAGGCCGCGCGAGTAGCAGTCGGGCAGTCCAGACCCCTGTTTTTAAATACCCTTTTTGGCCGAAGTGTATCTCATTTGGGGCTTATTTTTCTCACTCAAAACCCTAATTTCTCTCCCCCTTCTCTCTAGAAATCATCTCCAAAACATTAGAAACTCCTTGATTCTTGTAATCCCTTGGGTTTAGATCACCATCCTTATCCTTTAATCTTGAAGATCAAAGCTAGGGCTTCCTTGGTGTAGGAGAAAGTGAAGGAATCCTCCCTCTTGAAGCTAGGGTTTCATCTCTATTTCACCATCAACCTTTGAGGTAGGATTTCCTTTGAGTTATATGTGTGTTTATGCAAGTTTTTGTTGATTTTTGTGAAACCCTCTATGTATTTCGAAATTGGAGTCTAGGGCTCATGAAATTGTTGATTTTGCTTAAAGAAAAACTCATCTTATCTTCTTTTAAAGAATATTTGAGAAGTGTGGGACCTTGTAGATTGAGATTAATATGTATGGAGAGAGTTCATCAAGAAGATGAAACATGTTTAGATTTTGTGAAAACCTAGAAATTGGGGCTTTTTGTGACAACATGGAAATCCATGGAGTAAACATCTTTTCTTATGTATAAATGGGTGTGTGAGTATGGAGTTTACAATTTGGTAAGAAAAATGATAATCTCCTTGATATATGAAAATGAGGAATTTACTTTTAAGATTGTTGCTAGTGGCATGGAAAAATAATTTATTGTGAGAAGATAGCTATTGAACACCATTGACTTTGAGAATTGAAAACTTGGAGGTTGATATTGAAAGTCTTACATAATCATGGAATGACTAGAATGTTATGAAATATGTATAATGATGAGCTAATGCTACATGTTAATTGACACCAGTGGAACATGTGATTAATTGTGTGATTGTATTGGAGGAAGGTAAAAGAAGAAATGCTATGGAATGTCATTGTTGCATCATATCTTCATGTAAATTTTGTCATTTCTATACATCATGGCATGAGTTTTGGAAAACATCTACATTGAGAACGGTTATATTGTAATGAGAATTATGAGAATGTTAAAGGGGTAAATACGTGGTAAGTCTGGATAGGGAGTGTAGTTGTATTTGATAAGATGGCCTGATTGTCCTTGGTGAAAGACCAGAAAACCGCGCGGATAGGTGTCGAGCCTTCCGGTTAGTACCGGTAAAAATGACAGTTTGGTAGTACTTGTTGAGCCTACTTGCAGACACCAGCCTAGGGATTACTAGTGATGTATTTACCGTCCCCTTATGATTTAAAATTGGAAGTGTGAGAATTAATGAGGTTGCATAAATGTTGACTGAAAGTATAGTGATTTTCAAGAAAAGCATAGTATGAGTTTTCCTTCAAATGGCATGGCATAACATATGCATTTACATAAAATATTGTGAATCTTGCATAAATGTACATACTTTGTTAAGGATTCTCTACTGGGCTATATGCTCACCCCTATGGGTTTTGGTGCAGGTAAAGATGTGGTGATCCCGCGGAACTGAGGGCATGGATATTTTGAGAAGAGTACTTAACTCTTCTATTTTGTGATATTCTTTTGAGCCAAGGGCTAATGTGTATAGGTTGCAGAAACCATTTTGTGTAACCAGGCTTATGCCTTGGAAGATGTAAGCCCTTAAGGGCATTATATTGTTTTTTTTTTTTTAGAATGGATGCTTTACATGCTATAGATTCATATATTTTGTATCGATGAATGTATACCTGCATGTAAAAAGACTTATTATTAATGATGTAAAGATGGGCAGATTGTTGTTATTGTTGAGTGAATGTTAATTATTTGTGGGTAGTTCATGTCGAATTATTTC